CATGAGCCGGAGCGATCCGGGCCCCGCCGCCGGCCCCGCTCCTCCCCCGGCCCCGGGCAGCGCTCCCGCAGCGGCCCCGCCTGACCCCGCCGCCCCGCTGTCTCCAGCCAGGCCCGAGCCGCCCAACCCTGGAGCCGCCGCTGGAGCCGCCGCTGGAGCCGCCCGGCCCGGCGGGGGGAGCGCCGAGGGGCCCCACGGGGAGCACACGAAAGGTACCGGGGGACGGGGCTGCGGGGCCGCCCGGCCCGGGGCGGGTCCTGCCCGGAGCCTCGGCGGGGCCGGGCGGGGATGGACAGAACGGGGGCGGCGGGGGAGGAGGGGAAGGACGGGACCCCCGGGGCTGCGGCGGGTGCGAGGGGCTCGGACACCCGCCGCGCTGGGCTGGGGCAGGGACAGGCAGGGACAGGCAGGGACAGGCAGGCAGGGATAGCGCAGGGACAGGCAGTGCTTCCTGCACCAGGCCCGGCCCAGCCCGCCCCCGGTGGGGCCGGAGGACGCGGGTGGGACCGCCCGCGACTGTGTCCCCCGTGGGGACGGCGGGTCCTTCGTCCCCGTCCCGTGGCCGGTGGGTCCTGCTGCACTGACCTCTCCGTCCATCCCTCCCTCCCTCCCTCCTCCCTCTGCCCGCAGCGCTGCTGGTCGCCGTCAGCTCCGCCGTGGACAAGGTGATCGCCCACTTCAGCACCGCTCGGAACCTGGTGCAGAAGGTGAGGGGCTGGGCTGGGCAGGAGGGGCTTTGGGAGCCCCCGGGGGAGGGATCCTCCCCATCCCTCCCCTCTCCCTGTGCCTCCCCCCCTCAGGCCCAGCTGGGAGACAGCCGGCTGAGCCCCGACGTGGGGTACCTGCTGCTGCACACCCTGTGCCCCGCGCTCTACGCCCTGGTGGAGGATGGGCTGAAGCCTTTCCAGAAGGATGTTATCACAGGCCAGAGGAAAAACTCCCCCTGGAGCGTGGTGGAAGCCTCTGTGAAGACAGGTGGGGGTGAGGTCGGTGGCACCTGGGGGGTGCCTGGAGTCCTGTTCCAGCCCGGGCTGGGGGCAGTGTGTGCCCTGAGCAGTGACTGTCCCTGCTCTGCACCCCACAGGCCCCAACACCCGCTCCCTGCACTCCCTGTGCTGGCACGTGGCCGGGCTGGCCCCGCTCAGCAGCACCAGGCAGAAGTTCCACGCCTTCATCCTCGGCCTTTTGAAGTGAGTGTTGATCCCCCCAGTCCGACCCCGCTGCCGTGGCAGGTTGGAACAGCTACCGAGGGCTCTAATTTGGGTTCCCTTTGTCTTATTTAGCATTAAACAGTTGGAGCTGTGGATCTCTCACCTGCAGAAGAGCCCAGGTAAGGACACAGCGCCCATGAGCTCCCCATCCAAGCCCTCCCACACCTGCCAGGCTGATAATCCCACACTGGGATTGGGGTTTCTGTAGCGGATCAGGGGATCAGGGATCATGGCTGGGGTTTCCACAGTGGATCAGGGCATCATTTTCCATGGAGCATCTTGAGCACAGAAGGTGGTCTGACTGACTAGGACATCCCAGCTGGCTCTGGGAAGGGGGGGTGGCAAGGACAGGTCGTTCTGCCCCTGCCCAGCCCGTCCTTGTCTCCCAGGTGTGATCTCCGTGCTCTACTCACCCACGGCCTTCTTCGCCCTGAGCCAAGGCCCCCTTCCCCACCTCGCCGACGAACTGCTGCTGCTCATCCAGCCCCTCTCGGTGCTGACCTTCCACCTGGACCTGCTCTTTGAGCACCACCACCTCTCTGTGGACGTCCGGCCCTTGTCCCGGCGTTTGGAGTCGCCGCTGTCCCCTCCCCGTCACCCCATTCCAGCCGTGTCTCCGGAGGGCCGGGGCAGCGCTGCCGGGAACAGCCTGGAGGATGAGACCCCCCCTGACGCCCTGGGGAGGGCGGGGGGTGCGGGGGGTAGCACGAGGGCCCGGCCCCAAGCGACCTTGGGCGGGCTGGTCCCTGCTCCCCCCGTGGGGGCTGCCCTGCACCAAACCCTGCAGCACGTGCTGCGCTGGGGGGACCAGCTCAGCCGCGCTTGGCGGGGAGCTGAGGGACCCCCGCAGAGCCACGGGCCCGAGGAGGGCCCTGGGGGCACCGGGACCGGCCTCAGTGGCTGGTGGGGCCAGCTGAGCCAGTCCTCCAGGATTTACAGTGCTCCCAGCAAGGAGAAGTTCCCCTTGGTGTGGTGGACGAAGCTGCGGGGGCCTGCGGGGGATCCCAGTCCCGGCCAGGCCGTGCAATCCCAAACGTCCCTGAGTGAGGCTGGAGGGACAGAGCTGCAGCTCCTACAGACCAAAGCTGTCCCTGAACGCTCTGGCCCGAAGCCCAGCAGCAGCACTGACACCTCGGGGACCTCTTCCCCTGAAGACCTCGTCCTGCCCACCGGAGCTGGAGCACCCACCAAGCCGGATGATCCCACTGCTGGAGAGAAGCTCCTGGATCTTTCCCCGGAGCCTCGTGCCAACGGGAACCAGGCAGCACCTTCTGGCCCAGGGTTGGGTGGTCCTGGTCCTGACAAGGGCAGCTGGCTGGGCCGGCTCTTTGGAGCCACCAGCCCCTCATCCAGGAGCTTCCCCCCCAGTCCCGACACCATCTCGGCCAGGTCCAGGTAAGAGCCAGCTTGGGCAGGCAGAGGTGGGAAGTGGTGTGTGCTGAGGGAAGGTTTCTGTCCCGTGGAGAGCTCCCCACCGGCCCCTCAGGGGTCTTGTACTGCCCCTTGTCCCGGGTTTGTGCTCCTGGGATCAAGGAGTGTCCCAAGTGCTGCTGCCATTGCTCCCAGTCCTGTGGAGCAGCAGCAGCTCCTGGTGGTGCTTTATCGGGCCCTTCCCTGCCCCAGATCAGCAGAACAGCCTGAGCAGGGCGGTGCAGGATGGAAAAGCTCCTGGGTGAGCTTGTGGCTGCCTTTGCTTTGTGGCAGGAGACCGTCCCACTGGCTGTCCCCCAGCCCCCGTGTCCTGGCCGGGGTGGTGAAGGGGCTGGCGCCCGACAGGACCCGCGCTCAGGAACAGCCGGAGAGGAGCACGGCCCCCGCTCCCCAGGCCCAGAGGTGAGGCAGGACATGGTTGTATCCAGGGCTGGGAAGCTGGTGGTGGGTTTTTCTGGGTGGGGGGAAGCCAGGGCTGCTCCCAAACAGGGCCTGGGTGTCCCACACAAGGCCTGGGGGTCCCACACATCTCTCTAGTGAAAGGCACCGCTCCACGTCACCCACTCTGTGCCTGCAGCCCCCGAGGATCCCCATCTCCTGCTGAGCTCTGGGGGAGCCCGTGGCTCTGCCCACCTTGGGATCAGTTGTTTTTCCCAGATATTTTTGCGGGGAATTTTTTAGCATTTTCCCGTGGGCTTTGTGGATTCGTGGCTCGTCTGGGGCAACCCCGTGGCAGCTCTGGCCGGGTCATGGCAGGTCAGAACAGCAGCAGTGCTGTGTCTGAGAGAGCACAGCGGGTGTGTGGCCACCCCAAACCGTGTTTGGCTGCTTCCCTCCTCGCTGGCCCTGATGTCCCCACCCCCTCTGCCCCGAGCTGCTCCCACTCTGCTCCCCATCCCGGGGTCTGCTCGGCAGGACATCCCTTGCTCAGATCCCTCCTCAGGTGGCACCTCTGCCTAAGGAGGGGGTCACCAGCTCCTCACATGAGCATCAAACCCCCCCGAATGCTGTGGGAGCCCTGGGGGTCCTCGGGGTCCCTGGGGAGGCGAGTCCCCGACGGTGATTGTGGTGCAGGGCAGTTCGGGCGCTGTGCGACCACACGGGCACGGCCGACGGGCACCTGAGCTTCCAAAAAGGGGACATCCTGCAGCTGCTCTCCACCGTGGATGAAGACTGGATCCGCTGCTGCCATGGAAACAGCACCGGCCTCGTTCCTGTTGGTTACACGTCCCTGATTTTGTGAGGAGGCGGAGGAGACCCGAGGAAGCAGCCGAGCTTGGCGGAGCGGGTGCGGGCTCCGGGAAGGGATGTCTCCTGCCGCGGCTTCACCGCTTCCAGGGCTTTATAACCTTCGGGGCTTCACCACCTCTGGGGCTTCACCATCCCCGGGGCCGGCAGCTCGCAGGGGACCCAGCCCCGCGCCCGTCACTGCTGCTCCTCCGCATGACGTCCCCGTCTGCCGGCACCGCTCCAGGGACCCTCCTCGGGAACTGCTCTGGCTCTGGTTCCTCAGCTGCTGCCCACGCCTGTGCCAGGCCGGGGAGGAGCTCTGTCCCTGCCTGGCACTCACAGCCCTGTGTGTTGTCTCCGTGCCACCCTGTCTTGCCACTGCTGCCACCTCCACGTGTCCCGCTCTGCCCCGGCGGCCCCGGCCGGCCCCAGCACTCTGTACATAGTTGTAACCACAGGAATGAGCTTGTTCCACTGGGAAAAGGCTGGAAATAAAGGTTGTGACTCACGTGTCCGCCTGTGTGAATGGATCACCGGGGCTGGGAGGGCTGGGAACGGCCACGTGGCTCATCCCGCTGTGGGTGGGCCGGGCTGGGAACGCTGGAGATGCTCCCGCGGGAGCAGCCGGGGGGGGTGCCAGGGCTGTGCTGGTGCTGGGACACCAGCCAGGGAGCGTGGGGAGGCCTCACACCCCGGCAGAAGGTGCCCAGGCTCCTCCACAGTGTGGGATGAGGCGACTGCAGCCAGGAATAGCCCTGGAGAAACACTCACCAGTTTGGCTGCTGGGGAGCAGCCCCACGCACTGGGAGCTGCACAGCACTGGGAATGCTCCAGGTCGGTTGGTTCAGTTGTTTGTTCAACTTCAGCTAATCCTCTCATTGCCACAGGATGTCAGGAGGGGCTGGATGGCTTCGACTTTTAATTTTTTTTCATTTTTTTTCATTGCTTGTGATGTCACCCCAGGATTTACAGTTCGTACCGGGCTCCCCAGTAAAAGAGAGACGTGGCCGTGCTGGGGAGCGCCCGGGGAGTGGCCACACAACGGCAGCCACTCGTCCCAGAGGCAGATTTGGGCCTCTGCTCCCTCCCATGGCCGGGAGCCACATTTCACCCCTCTGAGCTCCCGTTTGGGTGGCAAAGAGCCGCTGTGTCACCCCCCGGGCTGGGACCTGCTGGCAGGACAAAGCCACTCTCCCTTTATTCTGTTCTCCTTCTCGCTTCCCTCTCTGGAATTTTTACTCTCAGACGAGGGACATCCTATCCTGATTGGAAGGTTACTTGACTCGCCTTGAGGAGGTTTGATTGAAACCCACAGCTGCTCCTGGACTTGGAAATGGGGTCACACCAGGAGGGGAAGAAGCCAGGTGGTACTTCTATTTTATTTTAAATAAAACAGCCCTGCGAGGCTTGGCTGGAGCCTCGGGTTTGGAAGGAAGGTGAGTGTAGGGGTCAAGCCCAGCGTTTTCATGGCCATAGAGAGTCAGGCACCAGAGTTTATATCCTGGGAACAGAATTTGTGGATCTAATGGTTCCTGTCCCAACCTGCCTCACACAGGATCGTGGTCATGCACCCTCCAACCCCACATGGGGACTGTGCTGCCGTTGTCCCTCCTGCCACTTCTGCACCACAGCAGAGCCACTGGCACCAGATTAAATCCTCCAAAGTGCCACCACCCACCCGGCACGTGGGTGTTTGGGAGCTTGGGCAGCGCCCTGGGAGAGTGGGAATTGGAGCTGGAGTGCAGCAGGAGGTCAAGCCAGGGCAAGGACAGACCCTCAGAGCCCTGGGATCGTGGAATCAAAGAATCACAGAATCATTAAGGCTGGAAAACACCTCCAGGATCACCGAGGTGCCCCATCCCCACCTTGTCCCCCAGCCCAGAGCACTGAGTGTCACGTCCACTCCTTCCTTGGACACATCCAGGGGTGGGGACTCCAAACCTCCCTGGAGCCCATTCCAATCCTTAACAACCCTTTCCAGCAAGAGATTCCTCCTCATGTCCAACCTGACCCTCCCCTGGCACAACGTGAGGCTGTTCCCTCTCATCCCATCCCTTGTTCCCTGGGAGCAGAGCCTGATTCCCCCTTGGCTCCCCCTCCTGTCAGGGACTTGCAGAGCCAGAAGGTCCCCCCTGAGCCTCCTTTTCTCCAGGCTGAGCCCCCCCAGCTCCCTCAGCTGCTCCTGCTGCTCCAGCCCCTTCCCCAGCTCCGTTCCCTTCCCTGGACACGCTCCAGCCCCTCCACGTCCTTGTTGTGAGGGCCCCAAAACTGACCCCATAGTTTGAGGTGCCCGGCACTGCCCTGGCCCTGTGGCCACCGTGGCTGCTCCAGAGGAGGGGCCACTGCCCTCCTTGCCCACCTGGGCTCACGTCCAGCCTCTGTCACCAGCACCTCCAGGGCCTTTCCCAGCTTTCCCAGCCCCTCTTCCCCCAGCCTGGAGCTGTTGTTGTGACCCAAGGGCAGTTCCTGGCCCTTGTCCCTCACCCTGTGGATCCATCCTGCCCAGATCCATCCCTGCCCTCCAGCCCATCCCCACCCCACCCGCCCCAGCAAAGAAAACCCCCCGAGCCAGCCGTAGGAAAAGATTTTTTTCCATTTAATACTAGACTCTCAGGATTGAGATGCAGGCTTTTTATGCAATTACATCCAATGTTAAAATTGGTAATACATAATTTACAAAGATTAACATCAAAACAATGATCTATTTAGATATGCTTTGTAAAAAGGAAATATATTAGCAGCATTTATTTTCAGCAATCACACAGCCTACACCCATGCAGACTAAGGTTCAGCTCTATTTGCAGTAACGTAGTGCTTCCTGGCTCCGGCGGCGATCCTGGGGACACAACGGGTCTGCTCAGTATTATAAAATAACCGAAAAATAAAAAAAGTCATTAATTTCTACACCAGTAAGAAAAAACAAGTCTTTGCACTTACCTAACATTTGATTGTCTAAAAAACATTTCGTTTAGTCTTTCAACAAAAGAAAGATAAAATGACAGAGCTAGTGTCTCGCTTCTGTACGCACTTTTATTTTTTTTATTTTTTTATTTTTAAAAACTTTTTAGTGTTTAACACCATTGGAGACAATGATTTTTTTTTTTCTGTTTGAAACTAAATGAGACAACTCGAGGGTCTGGACATGCGATATTCCTACTACACGCACGAGTATTTTATACTCAGGGTTCCTGGTACTGTACAGTGCTTCTCTACAGTAAGAAAATATTCCAAACTATTTTCTTATTTCTTTTTTTTTTTTAATAAAATATTTTTTTTTCTCAAAGGGGTTTTTTTGTCCTTTCTTTTTTTTTTTTTTTTTTTCCCTTTTTTTTGCTTTTTTTTTTTGCCTTTTTTTTAATTTTTTTTTTGTTCCTCCTCTTTTGAAATCAACACATAAAAGTTAATGGAATGAGTCATGTTCCACTAAGAGTAAAATAATTATAATAATAACAAGAATGTACAGTAGGACGAGCTTGGTCCATAAAAAGGAACATGTAACTACGGTATTGCTTTACATCCACGCAGCAGATATATACAACTTGGCACATTAAAAACTGGATTTCTTATAAGAACACCTAAAACAGGACTGTTTATATGCATGTGTACGTCTGAGACAGGAAAGCAAAGCCACGTCCAGGGGCAGCGGGTGCCTCCCACCCCCTCATCCTGCCCGGCCCCGCTCCGGGGGGCTCTGGGATGTTGGGATAACAGGGGTGGGAATGTTGTGGGACCCCTGGCCAGGACGTTCAGCTGTCCACCAGCACACGAGGGTAGTGTTAGCATCGATATATTCTACAGCTCACGACAAACACTCGCTCGGATACTGCCTGACGGGCACGGAGTGAAGGGTTCCTTGTTTTTGTAGTTCTTTTTTTTTTGTCCTTGTTTTTGTTTTTTTTTTTCCTTTTTTTTTAGGTTTTTTTTTTTTTTCCTTCCCAACAGGTTTTTTTTTTTAAATTTGCACAACACACGAGACACACGAGAAACCACAGCTTATCAAAAAAGAACCAACAGCAACGGCGGCGTCAGGATCCGACTCGCTTGGTATAAAACTCCTCTGCAGGAAAAAAAGTGGGGGGGAAAAAAACCAAAAAAACGAAAACAAACCAAAAAAACCTCACGCCCCCCTCCTCCCTCCCCCCACCCCTGACCCCTGCACGGCCAGTGCCTCATCCCAGCGCTCCTGCCCCGCTCTCCCAGGGCCTCTGGAAGCTTCTCCTTGGCACAGAGCACAGGGACCGTCCCACGGTGACCACATCTGCTCTTCTCTTGGAACTTGTGCAAATCAGAGGCTTTTTTGGGGCAGCCTTTCCTTTCAAGCCACTGGGCCTCTCCCCCTCCCCTCTGGATTCCCTTCCCTGGCGGTGCTGGTACAACCACAGGTTCTCAGTGACCGTGGGGAACACCCCCCTCAGAGTAACTCAGTCCTTTTTTTCCCCTCTCACCTCCCCATTTTTTTTTCTCTCTCTCTCTTTTTTTTTTAAATCTCTTTTTTTTTATTTTTTTTTTTTGTTTTTTTCCTCTGAGTGGGAATATCAAGCAAAAAATAAATTAAATTTGACCATCCTGGACAATATTAACCACGAGGTTTCCTCAGTACCTAACATCAATACAAGGCACGCCCACCAACACACACACCAAGAGCACTGCAGAGCAGGGCAGGGCGACGCCCCGGCCCCTTTAAGTGCTACTGTTTGTAGTTCTGTCAGTTCGCTGCCGCCTCCTCCCCCTGGGCCGGCACGGAGGAGGTCGGGCCGCGGCCCCCGGGGCTCGGCAGCCCCCCCAAGTCACAGCCCCCAGAGCTGGGGAGCCCCCGCTGTCACTTCCTGAAGCTGCTCTCGGGGATGCTCAGGGTGCGGCGCCGCAGTTTCCTGCCCGATCCCTCCTCCAGCAAGTACGTGACGTCGATGGCTGCAAGGAAACACAGGAAACACAGGCCCGGGGTGAAAAAAGGGGGATTGGGAATTCCTACACCACCGGGAAGGGGGGAAAACACCCCCTCGACCGTCGGGTCCAAGCTGGGACCCGTCCCCACCCATCCCCACCCCGTGCCACGTCCAGCCCTGTCCTGAACACGAGGAGCAGCTTTCCTGTTCCTTTATTCCTGGTTATTTGAAGGGTATTTCCATCCACACTGGTATCCAATATCCAGATATATCCAAAACACACAAGACTGAATTTAGCCCTGAGCCATGGCTGGACCAGACAACCCCAAAGACCCTCCCAGCCCCGATTATTCATCACTCCATGACTGTTTGGGCATTGCCAGGACATGGAAGAGACTGGACAGGGCTCATCCCAGGCTTTACATTGAAAGCAGAGACACGTTTAAACAGAGCACCCACAGCTCAGACAACACCTCCAGCAGGTGCTCAGAACCCAAGGAAAGCTCATAAAAGGCCAAAAGAGACTCTCCAAATTCTCTTTTTTGGCATATCTGTTGGTTCCTCAGTTGTAAACACGGAACGATGGGGGAGTGGTATTGAAAATATTATACAAAAATATTACACAAAAATATTATACAAAAATATTACACGAAAATATTACACAAAACAGTGTGAAGTGGCAAGAAATTTCCCTCGGGTTTTACCTGGATTTCTGTTGCAAAGGAAAAACGTGGCTGCAAAAAAACCCCACCTGATTGTTCCTAATGCCCACCAGCAATAAATTAATTCATTTTAAACAAACAAATTTTGTTTAAATAATAATAAATAAATAAATAAATAAATAAATAAAATTTTAAATAAATCACAATAATTTTATCAACACAGTGCCCAGCCAAGCAAACCCAGACCTGGGTCTGAACTCTCACCGTTTTTCCCTGGGATTTTCTCTAGGAGGTTGAGCAGGATCTGGTTCAGCCTCTCCCTCTGGAGGTGCCTCCTCTCCTCGGGGTTGCAGAGCTGCCTCGTGTCCGAGGGGGCCTCCTCCCCCTTCTTCTCTGCCTCGCAGCCCTCGCTGGGCACCGGCTCCTTGTCGGGCTCCTCGGGGCCGTGCAGCTCCCCTGGCACCTGCTCTGGGGCTCCCAGCACCTCCTCCATCAGGGGCAGAGCCTCCTCCTCTTGGTTTAAGTCTTTGATCTGTGGTTTTGAGCGATCTGATTTCCAGGATGACCTGGAGGAGAAGGGTTTCAGGAGATTTTTTCAGACCCTCACCCAAGAGGCCAGGACTGCTCCCTGGAGCTCATCACTTCCCTCAGTCCCTGCACCCATCACACCCCCAGGTCCTCCCCAGCCTTGTCTGCACCCCACAAATGCAGTTGTGACAAACAAATGGCTTCTTATTTCCATTTGGGAAGGTTTTTATCTCCAGAAGCTCAGCCCAGCGCTTACTGGGGCTTTCCTGGAACAGCCACGGCCCTCAAAGGGTGTTTTTACAGCCTCTGACAGACATGGAACAGCAGGACTGGGATCTGGGCTCCTCCATGTGGGAAGGAGGAGCCTCCTCTGCTGGGCATCTCCACACTCAGCTGCTTTTGCTGACTTTCAAATGGCTCCTGTTCTCTTCCTGATGTGCATTATTAAGGAACACTTCTCTAGGCTCTCCCTCCTCCCTCGTTCCCTTTTATCTCTCTGGAAGCTTAGAGAGCTTTAAATAATTTAAACTCCTGGTTTCCACAACCAACCCCCAGGGGAAATGGGCAGGAGGAGAGTGAACACCACAAACAGGATTCTCTCATCTCTTCTCCCCAAACAATCTGGGAGGTGACACTCACCGGCCTCCGTTTCTCTTGTAGTTGTCTGGCACATAATGAGGCTGCAACAGCAACAAAGATTGTGGTTAATACCAAAGCAAATTCACAGTGGAAGAAAGTGCTGGTCTATCAAACACTCTGGGAATACCAATGCAGGACACCCTGGGAATGCTGGTGTGTCTCACACATCAGACAACTCCAAAGGAGAAAGAATAATCACGTAATAAGGACAAATCAGAGCCAGACTTAGTTGATTTTTCCTATCTTCTAAATAAATTTCAAGCCACAGACCATCATGGTACAAATCCCCTTTGTTTTCTGCACAGCACAAGTTTGGAACCACCTCCAAAGCCACTACAAAAAGCTCTGCTCCAGGGAGAACAGAAGATTTGGATATCTCTGTGCTCAGACAGGGCAGTGCTGCCCTGGAGACCATCTCTGAGCTCACCCATCCCCAGCCCTTCAGCACCTCTTTGCCCCTCAACTGCAGGTTCTGTTACACTCAGTTTTCTTTCCCAGCTTGCTTTCAAGCCAGCTTTCACCCCAGACTGTGCATGCCCACAGAATCATGGAATTGTTAAGGTTGGAAAAGCCCTCCAAGATCATCCAGTCCACCCTGTGCCCCATCCCCACCCTGTGTCCCATCCCCACCCTGTGCCCCATCCCCACCTTGTCACCCAGCCCAGAGCACTGAGAGCCCCAACCAGCCCTTCCTTGGACACCTCCAGGGACAGGGACTCCAAACCTCCCTGGGCAGCCCCTTCCAATGCCTGACAATCCTTTCTATGAGGAAATTCTTCCTGATGTCCAAGCTGACCCTCCCCTGGCACAGCTTGAGGCCGTTTCCTCTCGTCCTGTCCCTGGCAGCAGAGGCTGATCCCCCCCTACGGGGTCAGCTCCCTTTGGCTCACCAAGCTTCCTTCACCAACAGACGCTCAGGGGCTTTCCAAAACCCTGTCCAGCCTTCTAACAACAGGCAAGGGAGCTGAGAGAACCCCCACTTACTGAGAAGTCTCTCTTGGGAGTGAGTTTCTTGGGGAAGTGGTCGAAGGCGTAGGGCTTGGTGCACACGGGGTAGCGGTTCCGGTGGATCTTGTAGAAGAGGTGAGCTGACTTGTCCAGGCGGTAGTCACAGATGTACACATCCTGCTCCTTCACCCCCTTGGGCCTCCCTGGGGGTTCAGGACAAAGCACACAGGAAGAAAACAGCCATCAGGTTGAGGGGGAAACACGTGCTTTGCCCCAGCCCAGCGCTGGAGTGTCGGAGTGTCCCTGTTTGCCCTCCTCTGGAACCACAACAGGACACGCTGCTGGTTCCATTCCAGGGGAGAATCCACACACTCTGATCAAACAGCAGCCAAACTTCCATAAAAACAGTTATCCACTGCCATCACTTCCTCTTCCCTGCCCACCACAATTCCAGCAGTGTTGTCCCTCTTAAAACAGGAATCCCTGTCCTGGGGTAAAGCCACTGTGTGTCCTCAGCTCCAGAACAAGCAAAGATCTCCCACAGCCTTTGGACAGCAGGATTCTTCCAGTGCATGTCCTGCTTCCTGCTGGGGTAAAGTGAATTTTGCCCCAGTAGCTGTTTCAGCTGTGCCTGTGTTTGGGATGAGGATAATGTTGGTCACACCCTGATGTTTGGTTGGTGCTCAGAAGTTCTCGGCCCAGGCATCAGGTGGGGACTGTACTGTGCTTCCAGGGGTCTATTCATGGAATCATGGCATGGTTTGGGTTGGAAAGGACTTAAAGACCATCCTGTTCCACCCCCTGCTATGGGCAGGGACAACTTTCACTAACCAGGTTGCTCCAAGCTCCATCCAACCTGGCCTTGGACACTTCCAGGGATCCAGGGGCAGCCACAGCTTCTCTGGGCAACCTGTGCCAGGGCCTCCCCACCCTCACAGGGAAGAATTTCTTCCCTATATCTAACCTGAATTTCCCCTCATCTAACCTAAATTTCCCCTCTTTCAGTTTGAAGCCATTCCTCCTTGTCCTGTCACTCCAGTTCCTGATGGAGAGTCCCTCTCCAGCTTCCTTGCAGCCACTTCAGATACCGGATACCTCCCTTTCTGTAATCTCCCTTTCCATTACTGCTACTGCTATTATTATTATTACATTTTACTTTATTTCAACCAGCTATTCCTATCCCAACCCCTGGGATTTACCTTTTTCCAGCCCCCCCTCTCATCCCTCTGAGCTGCCGACGGGGTTTAACCACAACAGCCCAAATTCCCGGGACTGTGTCCCACATTCTGTCCTCAGCCCATGCCACCCCCTCACCTTTGCAGTAGGTGTACAGGTCCAGCACACAGCACGTGCCCACCACGGCCTCCAAGGGGATGATTTCGTAGAGAGGGACCCGGAAGAGCTCGTTGTGGTAGAACTTGCGGGACGGGGAGTGGTGGGTTTCGTGTGGACGGAAATAGTGGTGGCCAAAGGCAAAACGCTCCTCCCTGGGAGGGAAAAAGGGAGAGGGAGGACAGAAATGAGCCCCTGGTACAACTTCACTTAATGCCCTCCTCCATTCTGAGTTCTCTCTCTTGCACTTTGGCAATGACTGTGATGGGAAGTGGAGTCACCCCTGCAGTCGTTTGTGGGTGGGCAGGGCTTTGGTCACAGAAAAGATGGTTCAGATCTGATAATCCTGGTCATTAAAGGTCATTATCCTGTGTGTGCCATGGGATGTGAGAGCAGCACAGAGCACGAGACAGACACCCCGGGAGGTTACAGAGCAGCACAATCCCTTTGCTGGTTTGCACAGAACAATTTCTGGGGCTCCTTTTGCCTTTTGCCTCATTTCTCTCCTGTTTCCATCAAACACCCCCGGCGTGGTTTCCATGGGCACAGCACACTGTGACTGTGACTGACTGTGACTGTGACTGACTGTGCTGCTGTCACAGGCACTGAACCACCTCACAGCTGCCACTGGGAACCCTCAGCCTGCTCCAACACCGAGGAAAGCCCATCAGCTTGTACCTCAAACCTCCAAGCTCCCACGTCTCCCCAGCGGAGCACATGCAGAGAGAGGTGAACCCCCTTTGCACCCGCACCAAGTGCTCACTCCTGCCTTTTTAAGCCATGACAGGACTTCCACGGAATCCCTGTGCCCTGCCAGGTGGGATGTGTGGGGGATGAACTCACTTCTCGTTCTTCCAGAGCTTCTCGATGCGGAAGATGTCGAGCTTGTCGCGGTTGATGTGGGACAGCAGCCGGTACGACTGACGCACGGGGTGCCCGTCGGGGGTCCTGCGGCTGTCTCTCATCAGGTACACGCAGTCACCTGGCACAGGGGGAAACAAAACACACCCCTGTGAAGGGCTGGGCGTGTTCCCAGCTCTCCAAAACCAGAGGAGCAAATAAAGGTGTCACCAGAACCAACACAACAGGTCTCTGATGTTGGATTATACAGAACGATGCAAACCCGCTGCAGAAAGGCCACGGTGATGTTTTTCACAACAGCTTTACCCTTAATTTTTCACAAATACCCTTAACTCTCCATGCCCAGACTGAAAACAACCTGTAAGGCATCAAAATCCATGATGACAGACCAAAGGATATGGAACAAAGTCAGCTGTGATTAGGAAAATGTGTAGGAATTAGCGGTGGCTTCAATGTTTAAAGAATAAATCTTTGAGAGGGAAGATACTCAGAGGGAAGATTATTATTGAGAAAATAAATCCTGGCCCGAGAAGCCCCAAGCCTTTGGTTATTCCAGCAGAATTCCAATGAGATGCAGAGCTCAGGAAGGGCAGAGAATGCAAAAAGGGCTGAACAAAATGGCACTGCTGGCAACTCAAAAAGTCTTTGCCAAGTGCAACCCCTAAACAGGTCCCTAAACTTCTCTTTATCAATTCTGTCCCATGAGTGAATTAACTCTTTACTTTTTTCTGCTCTGATCTGTGAAATCACAGAATCTCAGAATGACCTGGGTTGGAAGGGACCTTAAAGACCCCCTCATTCCACCCCTGCCCTGGGCAGGGACACCTTCCACCAGCCCAGGCTGCTCAGAGCTCCATCCAACCTGGCCTTGGACACTTGCAGGGATGGGAAGAGCTTCCATCTCTTGTTATTTACCTCTCAATGAACAAAAACCTGGGAGGTCCCACGTCATAAAAAGAATGGCACAGTCACCCTGTTACTTTGTGCATAACAATTTCTGATGCTCCCTTGGCCTTTTTGACTCATGCTGAACATTTTTCTCCTGTTTTCATTACATTGCAATGACTCCTGTTTTTTTCCCCCTATTTCTTTTCCCCTGTTTTTGGGTATGTGCAGTTGTGGCTGTTTTCCTTCCATGGATATTGCTGTTATTCATTAGCAGGTTCTGTTGCTGTAACTTCCATAACTTAGGAACAAAATGCCAGGGAAACGTGGCCTCAGGTCCATCAACACCTCAGTTTTGTTATAACCAAGTTTAGGATTAAAGTGAAGGATGAGTAATTCTATTTTCATAAATATAGTCTCACTTATCAATCTGGTCTAAGTGTAAAAGATGCTCCTAAGGACTCCTCACGTGCAAAAATCACTTTTAGGTTTGATGTTGTCCCTGTTGCTGTAACAGTGGAGACAAAACATTATGGAAAAATATAACCTCCAAGTTAAACCAGAGGGGATGAGGTTCCACACAGGCACTGCCATGGAGCCAGCTCTGAAACCTTTGGGATAACCAGGATTCCTAGTAAACAAAGTAGGAAGTTGTAGGAAGGAGAAAGGGAGTTTTATTCCAGTTGGATGAAGTACAAAATGGCCTGAAGACAGACTGACACAAACCTGCACAGAGCAGAGGGCAAGGCTGGGGATGAGCCTGTGCTCACCCACTGCAGCAGCTCTGGGAATCAGGGAATCATGGAATGGTTTGGGCTGGAAGGGACCTTAAAGCTCACCCAGTGCCACCCCCTGCCATGGGCAGGGACACCTTCCACTAGCCCAGGTTGCTCCAAGCCCTGTCCAACCTGGCCTTGGACACTTCCAGGGATGGGGCAGCCACCTGGGCAACCTGTGCCAGGGCCTCCCCACCCTCACAGGGAACAATTTCTTCCCAATATCCCACCTAACCCTGCCCTCTTTTAAGTCTGAAGCCACTCCCCTTGTCCTGTCACTCCAGTTCCTGATGGACAGTCCCCTCCAGCTTCCCTGCAGCCCCTTCAGATCCTGGAAGGTGCTCTGAGGTCTCCACACAACCTTCTCTTCTCCAGTCTGAACACTCCCACCTCTCCCAGCCCATCTCCATGGGGAAGGGGCTCCAGTCCCCTCACTGACTTCATGGCCTCCTCTGGACTTGCTCCAACAGTTCCATGTCCTTCTGATGTTGGGGCAGCCTGGACACAGTGCTCCAGGTGAGGTCTCATGAGAGCAGAGCAGAGAGGCAGAATCCCCTCCCTCATCCTGCCTGGCTGTGCCTGGGATTGTCCCAGGCCAGGGGTAGGACCCTGCACTTCACTTTGTTGAACTCCATGAGCTTCACGTGGTCCCACCTCTCCAGGTCCCTCTGGATCCATCCCTCCCCTCCAGCATGGTGATCACACCACACAGCTCAGTGTCTTATTACTACCTGAACTAAACCTGGGATAACTTCCTTTCACAGCATTAAGGGGAACTTTCAAAGAAATTAGGGAGGTGGGTTCCATAAAAGACTCATGAAGAGGTCCCTGCTGAGAGCAGCTGCTGGCCCCAAGCAGAATGTAAATAAAGCCATTTAATTTTAAACCACCTAGTTTTAAATGAGCTGTTTTCAACCCTTCTTCCTGACCTTTTCCAGGAGAATAAAGCAAACCCAGCACTTCTTGTGCCTGACTGAAATAGGAGCACTCAGGAGGAGATGAACACAAATGCTCCCCAGCCTGAAGGATCAGAAAAGATGATTCCAATCCCAGTTTATCCAGAGGTTCCTGACTATGAACCACCTGCCCCTCTGCCCCAAAAAATGGGGTTTTTCAAGGAAGAAACACAGCAGGTGTTGCTGGTGCCTCAGGGGTGATGACAAGGGGCAGTTCCTGGCTCTGTGGGTTTTCAAGGATCCATTCTGACTCCAGTTTATCAACTCCTATCTGAGGCAGAACCCCGTGTTCCCTCTGCAGGATGTGATGGACCAGCTGATCAGATCTATTGGCATCATCTCCTGGGTTTAGGTGCTGGGGAATTTCGGCAGAGGAAGCTGTGGTGTAACCCAACAACCTCCAGCAGAATTGTCAAGAAATCAAAAAACAAGTTCTCTGACCGTGGACTGAGGGGCCCTCCCTGAGACCCCTCTGAAGGAGAGGGATTTGATCACAGCAGAGTGTGCCCACTCACACAGCCAAAACTTCTCACCCTTGTTCCTCCAAAACATCAGCTCTCAAGCTTGGAACTGGCAGAGGAGTCCAGGGTGCAGCTCACCCAGGCAGGCTGGGGGCCCCAACTGTGTTTCCAGGCTTTTTCCAACACACAGCAGCCAGGAAAAATGTAAATCCACAGACCTTTCTGTGTGTGAGGCCACGCTTTTGACTCAGGATGTGTAATTAGGGGGCCTTTTAGAAACCAGAGGGAGTAAAAAGCTGTTTCTCCTGCTGTTTAGGGCACCTGATACACCCTGAGCACAGCAGGTCCTGTGGCTGTGCCTCAGAACTTTGGGTGGGGAACTCAAGACCAGCAACGAATCCATGGATTTTCCCTCCTCCTGCTGGAGTTGTGTGTTCCTTCCCAGCACCTTCTGGTTGTACAACTTGCTTAATCCACCCCCTGTACCTGCAGAGGCATTTGGGGCCCAAGAGTGGCAGTTTGGTGCCCTCTGTCCCCTGCTGATGGTACACAGGGCTCAGCCACAAGAAGGGCATTTCCCTCATTAAAGGACATTTCCCTCATTAAAGGACATTTCCCTCATTAAAGGACATTTCTCTAATTAAGGTCACCAAGATCAGATCAGAGGTACCCGAGTAAAACACGATGTGTCATGACAAAAATGCCCTCAGTGCTCTGAATGCCTGGAAGATGCCACAAACCCCAGATCAAACATGACCCATTCCAACAGAGAACATGAAATCCAGCTCTGACACAGCCCTTGGAAGTGAGTTACTCTCCAGCAAAAAAACCCATGAGAAACCCAATGGCTGAACTCTGGCAGAGCAACCACCACCAAGGAGGACTGAATGAAACTCCAGAATCCTGCAAATGGGATAAAGGATATGCTGTTCTTTGACCCTTTTTTTTTAATTCTCCACTTTCCTGAAGTCTCTTCTCTTCCCCTCTAGCAAACATATCAGCTGGTTTTACTCATTTAAGAGTAGCTCCTTCATAATGATAAAGGCTTCTTTCTAACCTTGTGTGTATCTGTAGGATGAATTTAAAAAGTACTTATCAGTGAACTGAATTATGTGGTTGTGGCAGCTGCCTGGGAGAGATTTGGGGCTTCAGAGCCCTGTCCAGAGAGATTAAGCTTTAGGGAACACACAAGCAATGAGCTGAGTGTTTTAATGACCATTCTGCACCAAAATACTGAAGGTCTAACAGCCTTCTTGGCCTTTACTTCTAAATGTTAACTACCAGCAGTTGGCTCAGCATCTTCCTCCCCTGGCCAGAGCAGTCTGCACTCAAGGTAATTAACATTTCTCCATCAACAGCCTGTGAGAGCTTTCACTGTGTGTCATTCCCAGCATCACAGAGAGCAGCTTCCACTTGTGAAAAATGAGAGGATTTTGGACAGGGTGATGCCAGAAAGCCCTGCACACTCTGGGGGAAGGCCCAGCACGTACCTTGGCGGAGCAGCAGGTCGTCCCTCAACAGGCAGATGTAATAAACACAGCCAGGCTGGGCATAGTGGGGCCGAGGGATCATGGGGACCTCCTGCAGGGAAACACAACAAAGGGAGGGAATCCTGAGCTGCCCAACATCATCAGTCCCAAAATGGAGCTGAAACCCTTTTGGGAACATGCAGAGAACTGACCCCTCCCAGGACTGAACCTAAACCAGGTGCAGGAAGGGAGAAGCTTTAGAAGTGAGAAAAATTAAGAGAAACGTAAGGAAGTGAGAACCCAGCATTTGCCAACCCCAACAAATACAAATGCAGGAGCTGCTTTAGTTGATAACTGGGTTAAGGAAGGAGAGCTTACCCTGCTCACAGCCCGAGGCTCACACTGCTCACACAGGTAGTGCTCCACATCTGAGTTCACCCCCATGCAGTCACAGTGTTGCCAGACCTGGGGAAACAGCACAGCCCAGCTCAGTCAGTGACAGGCTCTATGTACAAGCTGCCTTTTCTCAAAAAACATTAAGGAGAGCAAGACAATAAGCTTCAGAAAGGAAAGTCAAGATTTTCCCAGAACTATTTCACAGGACATCAGAAGACAGACAGGATCCCCAGGCAACTGTGTGTGTAAAAGCCCCAAACTGTTGAATTTAATTTCTCTCTCCCAAGGGCAGAAGCTGTTGCAGTTCCAGCTCCTCTACACAGAAATGCAAGTTGCATTTCCTTTGAACACAGAACTTCTTCTCTTTTGGAGAGGAAATGAAGGGCTGCAGAGGTAATTCATGCTACTGACTACATGGAAACTGCTGGTTGTGGAGAAAAGAGAGCAGGCTGTGGTTTGGGTTCCCTTTTCACACTGGATCTGCACTTTTCACACTGGATCATGAGCCCCTCGTCCTTTTAAAGTCCACAGATGCAGTGGAAGCCTAAAACTGTCAAAATTCATTTCTCTCTCCCAAGGGCAGGAGCTGTGGCAGTTCCAGCTCCTCTACACAGAAATACAAGTTGCATTTCCTCTGTGGAAACAGCATCTCCATTTCCTCTGTGGAAACAGCACCTCCACTCTTCTGGAGAGGAAATGAAGGGCTGCAGAGCTAATTCATGCTACTGACTATATGGAAATTGCTGGTTATGGAGAAAAGAGAGCAGGCTGTGGTTTGGGTTCCCTTTTCACACTGGATCATGAGCCCCTCATCCTTGTAGAGGCCACAGATGCAGTGGAAGCCCCAAGCTGTTGAAATAAATTTCTCTCTCCCAAGGGCAGTTCTGGCTCCTCTACACAGAAATGCAAGTTGCATTTTCTCTGTGAAAACAGCACCTCCATAATTTTGGAGAGGAAATGAAGGGCTGCAGAGGTAATTCATGCTCCTGACTATATGGAAAGTGCTGGTTATGGAAAAAAGAGAGCAGGCTGTGGTTTGGGTTCCCTTTCCACACTGGATCTGCACTTTTCACACTGGATCATGAGCCCCTTGTGCTTGTAGAGGCCACAGATGCAGTGGAAGCCCCAAACTGTTGAGACAAATTTCTCTCTCCTAAGGGCAGTTCC